GAACGGAACTCAGACTGTAACTTGCGTGACCTGAACATTATCTATAATTTGATGACGACAGCCTCTAAAAGCACCGGAGAAGACAAAGTAGAGTTGCCTGGCTGGGGACCAGAGGGCTGGGTCAAACCTGGTAGCTGGCAGAAGTCTGTGGACTGGAAGGTCACATCTGTGGAGATCTGGATTGCGTAAAGACCCTGGAGAATCAACACAAGCGATTGACGACATTGTATGGGAACATTGTGACGAAGGCGAAAACAGAAACGGAACAGATTGCAGATTGCCATGGAGGAAGCGAGGTGAATCTAGTGACTGCACTAGGATTCAACAGCATGTTTGTTCTAGATTCAATAGTGACTCTAAAGAACTCTAGATGATGCGAGTTTACATGATCTGGCCATGATACATCACCTGCTGGCCATGAGATTGACGAAGAGGAAGAGCAACCCGTCCACGGAGCTGTCCGAGGAAGGTACACCGAGTAATTGGTTGAAGCAAGGCACATGCTTGGCTCAACACAGTGGGATGGAAGGACAAGTTTGTAACCTGGGACACTGCCTGATTACGCTGAGCGAGCAGCATCGACAACTGGCACAATTGTACGGGAGATTGGACATGTCAGATAAGAGTGCCATGGAGTTGGTCGCAGACTGCCATGGGGTGACGGACGTAAACCTGATCACAGCCTTGGGATTTTGTAGCCTGACGAGTTCGATAGAATCACTCGAGCGCCTGGAGCGTGCCCATGAGCTAGTGACGTCCCTCAGCGTGGAAATATTCCCAGGAGCATTGCAGACAGAGCAGAAGATTGGGGGCTGGCGAGAAGTTCTAGAAAATGAAATGAATCTGAAGTATAGTGAAGCCTATCACAGACCTACTGGTTCAAAATATATGGTGGGTTCAAGCTCCGCACCATACTGTAATAGCAAGTATCCTACGCACATGGTGGTAATGGATGCGAGGACGCAACAAGTGTTGGTTGACCAACTTTTCTCTGTGCCAAAGTGCGTGAGGTTGGCCAGAATGTCGGAGAGGTCACATGATTTATTGGCGAAGATCTTTCGGGCAGTCCCGAAGAGGTCTGAAGGCGAGTTGCAAGACGTAGTGGGTGAAGAGTTTCTGAGATTAAACGAAGGCAATGTGAGTGAGTTCCAGAAACAGAAAGCGAGTGGAGCCTTACCCACTGAATTCCCCACAATAGAAGAAAAAGACGACTTACATAGAATTCTGATGGAGGTGGAACCGTTGCTGGGAGCCTCAGGGTATCGGACCCGAAGGAACATAGTGAGAACCCATGGGGAGTATCCTTGCCACTGCTTGGCGCAGACGTTGTGGTACCCCAAACGAGGGAATCTAATGCTAGTATGGGACGTGGAGGAGTTGTACTCTACGGGGTTGCCCGATCAGAATGAACAGGTGTCAATCGTGGTGGTTAGTGCCATGCTGGCAGTGAGATGGCTGGAGGCTAACGCGGACACAAATGAGCAGGAGACGGCCGTGCCGACTCCTGAACAGCTGAGCAACGTGAAGATGAGTCGTGAATTGGATCTTTTCAGAACCACCTGCAAGGTTCTGAGGATACCTAAAGCCATTGAAAGAATATGGTCAAGGCAAAGATTGATGCCTTGGTTCCGTGCAGTGATGACATCATGGATGTATGAACGCGCGAAGCGTCACATGTCGAGGAACACGGAAGCCTATCAATCGTTCCAGCTAGATATAGGACCAGGAGCCTATAAGAGAGCATTCTTGACGCACAGAAACGCGGTCACCACAGCGGTGAAGCGGGTAGCTGGAGCGCCTTGTGTTACTGAAGATGAGAAGAAAGAGGTCTTAAGAGCTGACCTAGAACGAAACGTGAGCCTATGTCTTCACAACAGCTTTTGCAGGAACCGGGAGCAGAAGGTGAATGTGGACTTGCTACCTTGTTGCAAACCGAGGCTGTTGGAGCAGGAGAGTTAGGGCACGGCCCGCAACTCTATGGACATGTTGGAGAAAGTTCTGGAAGACAGTGACGATGAACATCAGGATGGAGAAGTGATGGAATGAAGATGAACAAAGAAGAGAAGAGAAGGAGAGAAAACTTGATTGTATTTGTGTGCTAAAACTTAAACCAATCAACCAAGTTTTGATTTTTGAACTTGTGAAACTTTTTGTTTTGATCTAGTTTGGTCAGACCAAACTATAATGATGCAATTGTTAAAATTGTTGAAATTGTTGATTTTAGTTATGGCTATTTATGTATGTATATAAGGAGCATAGGTGAGTATATTTACCTATTTATTCACGACTGAAGTTTTAAACCTGTGTAAGACACAAATTCACTGTGTGGCGACATGGTAAGTTTGAGTAAACTCGCTCGGGAAGGGTTGGGTAACTCAATAACTTTCCTAGCCACAGAGTTTCTTAGTTTTAATATTGAAAGGACCGCATAAATAACTGATTATACTTGGTGAGTAATGTTAAGTTAATTTTAACGGGTGCGTGGCCGTGCCACGTCCCACTTTTTAATCACAAAGAGCGAAAAGAAGTTTTATGGCAAGACGACGTAAGTAGTCAGAAAAGAAATTTTATCTAGGACACTCCTCATGGTGCAAATTTTGTGAAAATGTTGAAAGGCAGTGAGATGTAGTACGATGCCATTTGTGAACACGTAGTGAGTTGAGGTGGGGTAGATAAATTTCATTTTCTTATGCGATTTGTAAGGTTGATTACAGAAAACTGGATAACTACTTGACGATAATCCGGTGTTATGCGATCAATAGGGATATTGATGGAGACTTGTCCGGGGAGTATGTGCCATTCTGCCAGATGACACAGCACAACCTTCCGGCGACATAAGAAAGAGTGACTAAAGGCCTTATGAACGAAAAAGTGTTGCGAAGGAGGGTCAAAATGTTCTAGAATTTTTATTTTTAAAATTTCGATTGAAGAGTGAACATTTCTGAGAAATAGAAAAAGACGGCCATTTTGACGAAAAAAGTGACGAAATTGAGAACAACGACAGATATTGAGAAAAACAGTCGTACCAGAGACGGAAAATACGAAGCCTCTTATCGTGGCAACAACGCACGATAAGACACTTGTCAACAGATATTGGTGGAGAAGGAGGATTCAGTGGGGGAAGAAATACACCACGGAACCCTCCCGGGACACGAATTATAAGAGATAAGAGCGTTATCTCAGGAATATTACGGGAGTGGAGGCTTGGTCCCCCAGAGACTGTTTATGTGAAGGGACTGTATAAACTAACTTTATAGCTGCTGGAATGTCATAGATCTCTTAATTAACACCGTTATTGTTTGATATTTCAGAACATGAGTAGCTAGAAAGAGGAAAGGGTCAATCCATCTCCAATGGATTTAATATAAAACTGTCACACAAAAATATGTTAAAATAGGTTGTTCGAGCCGTGTTTTTAATGACCATCACGTAGTCTGAGGATCCGAGACTCAGCTATGTGGTTGTGTTCGCATGTAAACGAAAGCTGATCAAAAGTCGTTTGACTGATGGCCTAAAAATGGTAACTTTTTACTTTGCCCTAAACAGACCAGAAAATCAACTGGCAAGGTCGAGACGGTGAAAAACGAGTAGGATTAAGGTAACTGACGCCTGCCAGTCGTTAATAGGTACTTTTCCTACGCTCCGTCGCTGTGTAGTATTTGGGCGAATGTTTCAATTATGGTCGAATGGCGCATTGGTGCTGTCTGAGTATTCTCAAAGATTGTGATTCTTGCCTTCAACTCTGACTGCTCAAATCTTGGTATTTTTCGAGAAATGACGTGTTTCACGATTTTTTTTATTTGAATATCGCAGCCTTGTAGTTGTTTACTGCTATGGTACCCTCAGAAAATAAAAGCTCCAAACTGTGCGACCAAATGCAACTGCTCAACTAATCATAATTTACGAGATGTGACGATTGTTAAGTCTTTTTCTTAAAAGTTTCAAGGACTAACAGAAAAATTTTTGTAAAGTTTGAAGTTCGCAAAATTATAGTGAGGCTCTGCCTGGGTATTCCTAGAAATTGAGAATTTTTCTTTCAAGTCTGATTGCCTAAATCCTCGTAGTTTTTGAGATACGCCATTTTTAGTGATTTGTTTCAAAAAATTTCAGAAAATTTAATTTTATTTGTAAGTTCAACCCTGTAGTTGGGGTCTGTCCGAGTACTCTCAGGGGTTGCAAATCTTGCCTCCAAATATGACTGCTCAAATCTTCGTAATTTTTCAGATATGACGTTTTTTGTGATTTTTTCAATAGTTATTCAGAAAACCTAAATTAATTATTTTTCAAATTTTGTAATTCACAGCTCTGAAGTTGTGTGCTGCCTGAGTACTCTCAAGAAATGTGAATCTTGCCTCTAAATATGACTGGTCAAATCCATGTAGTTTTCGAGAAATGACGTTTTTTGTTGTTTTTTATTCAAAAATTTTCAGAAAAAATGAAATAATTTTTTTTTGAAGATTTGAAATTCCCAACCCTGTACTTGGGGGGCTATAGACTACTCTCAGAGTTGCGAATCTTGCCGCCAAATGCGACTGCTCAATTGCTTTTAGTTTTCGAGATATGACTTTTTTCTGGCGTTTTGAAAATTTTCAAAGAACTTAGATATAAAAAAACTTCACAAAATTGTATGGTTTTTCAAAATTTGAGTTGAAAAAAAAACTTAAATAAAAAACATACATAGTTTGAGTTTATCAACCCTGTAGTTGGGTGTTGTCAACTTCGAAGCTCCGGAGATGCGTTACCCGCTAGTAATTCAAATATTTAGCTAACTTTGTAAGGTATAATATATAAATAAGTCATTGCTGGAACAGCAAGTAGCACAAAAAAGCGTGTGAACCGTTAAATCAGTGAATCGCAAGTGAAAGAGTGAGTCGAGAGTGCTGTCGGGTTGCACGCCCGACTGAACGTCGAAAGCAGGGATATTTTAATCAAAACGTATATTAAACAAAGCAAAATTGTTAGCACAATCTTTTCGCTTACATCGATATTGTTTCAGTTTACTGAATGAGCAATGAGCGAAAGTGATGCATTGATATCACTAGGCGTTGTTGGAGATGACCTCTGCAATGACAAAGAGATACTCCAAGCAGCGCAGATTCTTGGTTTAGATGTTGAGTTGCTTCGGAGTTTCGAGTCGGATAGCCCTGACGTTGAAGTATACGTTGTTAGTAACTTTGAGGGGTCTGATTACAGAAAACTTAGACATGCGAAAAAACAGGCAGTTATCGGACCTCCATATTTGCTGTTCAAAGCAGCGACTCAACCTGGAAGTTTTGAGCCACCGGGTAAACCTGTGTATTGCCTGGCACTTGAAGGTGCGGTGATTTGCCTTACTGGCATCTATGAAGAATCTGAGGGAGATCAATTGATATCGTATGCAATAAAAATGGGTGCTCGTGTGAAGTCAGACGTGTCTTTGCAGGTAACCCATTTGGTTGCCGCAAATACTTTTTCTCCAAAATATCGACTTGCAGTTTCTCTCGGCTGTGAAATCATGTCAACTGAATGGATACACCAGTCTTGGGCACAAAAAGATGAGCATTTGTTTTCCGGACTGGAAAAGTCATTTTCGTCTAAATATCGGCTGTCTCCATTCTACAATTGCAAGCTTGCAATGTACGGCTTCTCCGAGGATGAAAAGGGTCACATGGAGGATATTGCAGCTGATAATGGTGCTCAAATTGTGGATATGAAAGATTCCAAACTGAACATAGTGGTAGTCGACGATGCTCGAATTTGTTCATTCCCAGAATCATCGAGTATCGACGATTCTTTGACCTTTGTCCGAGCTGAGTGGTTTTGGATAAGTGTGCAGATGCAGGTGTTTGCGAGACCGGAAATGTTTCCATTCGTTGACAAAACGAACACTCCTTTGCTTCAAAAAGCCAAAACCCCTCGGTCAGGCGGACCAAACAACTCGAACACTAAAAAGACCAAAAGAAGGAAACTTCAAGATAATTTTACTTTGCTGGCTCACGATGAGAACTCACCAGTTTCTCCTGCGATATCCAATCTTGACAGCTTTGGAGAATCGGGATCGGTCGTCTATGATTCACCGGATTTTAATTTAGGAGATAATGTTACGCCCACGATTTCAAAACCAGGGTTGTCAGAACAGAAATTTGGGTTGAACACTCCAACAGTTGAAGAAAGTCAGTTGATTCCAAGAACAAAAAGGCACGGAATAATCATGGAATTGTATCAAACAGAGACCAATTATCTCTCCATTCTGAAAACAATTATCAAGGAGTTTAAGGAGCCGCTTGAAGCTGAAGAAGCTAACGGAAACCCGCTGATAGATACCGAAGACCGGAAAACTATTTTTGACAAACTGCCGAATCTGCATGCAGTGCACTCCAAAATCCAGTCGAAACTGTTTCACATCGTTAACAACTGGAATGAAGATGTATCAATAGGTAAAATTTTCCTTGAATCCATCGACGATTTACAAAAATCGTACCCTCCTTTCGTGAACTTTTTCGAGATCGCCAAAGAGACGCTCGATAAAGCAGACAAAGGCAATCCGCGATTCCATGCTTTTCTCAAAGTTAGAGCTACAAAACCGGAGTGTGGACGACAAAGTCTTGGTGATTTGTTCATTCGACCGGTTCAAAGACTTCCGAGTGTTCTGTTGCTTGTAACTGATCTTCTTAAAAAGACAGATGCTTCCCATTTTGATCATAAGTTTATCGAAGAGGCACTTGAGAAGTTGAAAGAAGTTACTAGTCACATCAATGAAGATAAGCGGAAAACTGAAAGTCGACTTGAAATGCTGAGCATCGCAAACACAATTGAAAACATACCTGCTGTGATTATATCTTCACATCGTCAGCTGATAGCAAGTGTAGATGCAGTAGAAATATCGGGACAGATTACTGTAAGAACCGAGACTCTTTGTTTGTTTCTTTTTTCAGATTGTCTCTTAGTCGCCAAAAAGAGAAGTAAGCCAACTAAAAGTCCAAGTGTTTCAAAAACTCCTCAAAGTAAGAGTTGTAAATATCTCGCGGTTATAAGTTTGGGACAAGTAAAAGGGATATATGACATTGAAAATGCGAACGATGTCCCTTCTTCGTCTTTTGCGCTCATCTACAAACCGCAGATTGAGGGCACTGAAAAGTTGTTCGCGTTCAACGTCTCGGCCATTTCAGAGAAGACTCACTTTATAAAAACAATCGCACAGCAGATGAGTATTACTCAAATGAGAACCGACTCTGAGAACCTGATCTCAATTATCCCAGCCAGTGAACTTAACTTAGACTTGAATACAGAGGGATCTAGTAAAATAATCAGCAAAGCCATCTCAAAAGTGGCTAAAAAGACGTCCATGAAAGTATCTCAGGCTCTTACGGGTAGTGCTGGCAAGGCACTTAATACCACCAAGGAGTCTATTAATCCAAGAGTCAGTACCCTGATGAACGCAGTTACTCCTGTTAGAAGTACAAGTCGAGGGTTTCTATTTTCAAGGAAACTGGTTAGTACCCTGGATTTGACGTCGAGCCTGGATTATGACGACAGGACGTGCACGGAAGTGAAAAAGCGAACGCTACCCGATCGAACGTCGTCATTGGCTGAAAGCAGTGTGTCGCTTTCAAGAAACAATTTTGGGTGAAATACAATCATTTAACGATTTAAGCAATGATCGGTTCCAGTCAACTAAATTGCTTTATTAACATAATTGTGGTTTGACAACACTTGAAAGCCTTCGACTTTCCGTGTTTAGACTTTCCGTGCTACCTGATTGTTTTTGGCCAAAATAAAACAAAATTTGATAGTTCATTTTTCATACAGTTTTTTCAATCCGGGAATAGTTTTGTTTAACTTGCGATGAATTGACTGGGTGCTTTTACGTGCGCTTCAAGTTGTGATTGGTTTCATTTTTGTGCTTTTGAGTTTTGATTATACTGTCCCATGGGGCTATTATTGTTTCGTATGATGTTAGTTACTAATTTTGAATAATTTGTTGCAATAGATGTTTTAACGATATTTTTCAAAAACGAGTTAGAAAAACACAGGCCATACACAGGATTTTAATCCCTAGTTTGAAAACATGTGAATATCAATATGCAATAAATCGGAGCTGAAAATGAAAAATTGACTTGAGTACTATTTATTAATCAGCACATACCGCAACCTCCCTAGCAGATGTGATCAGTTTTTATTTGCTCTTAATAATTTTATAATTATTTCAGAATAGATGCCACCACTGCGATAGATACTAATACGATGTACTTGTACATTGCAAATTGAACCAGACTTGACTCTGTTTGAAGTACTTTATTTGAGTTAAACGGTACGAAAATGGAGAACGAAGACAATGAATTAGAACGTGCTTCGTCCTCCCTATCTAATGTGGATCTCAATGTAGAAGAACTTTCAATCGAAGATCCAGGCGAGGAAAGTCCTGGTGAAAATCATGCGGAAGTTTCTGACGAGGAGAAAGACGATACAAACCTTGAACCAAGTTCGTCTGATTTAATAGATGAAGGAAAGACGGATCGCGAAGATGTTCATGACGAATATGAAAATGACGTGGATGTTAGTCAGTTTAACCCTGACTCAAATGGAAATTTTCAACCAAATAGTTCTTTTGATCGCACACATTCAGTTCCAAACTTTTCGGGAATGCATAGTTTGCACAAAGTAGACCGAATAGAAATGCACCAGAAGACCTTGGATATTACAAATCAAATTGCGGAGTCGAATCCGAACTCTGAGACATCTGGAAATGCGCAAACTCCTACACCTGCTGGTACGAGTACAGCTGCATCTGTAAGCGGGCATGTGAACAAGATACAGTTGCCGTGGGATAGAATGCATCAGTGGATCTACTGTATCGCAGTTGTAACATTTGACGTCGAATTAGGGCAGACAATCGAGGTATGTTTGATATACTCTAAAGCTAGCTTATTTGTTTGGTGCTATCTAAAAGTGTACTAGCGACTTTATGAATTAGTATTGCTGCAACAAGTAGAAATAATCTTTTGTGTCTCTTAGACTACTAGAAAATTTTAGGAGCATTGCCTAACAAAGAAAGCGGTTTCTCATGTTGTATTGCTAATTCGGTATATAAAAAAAATTAATTTTGGTCTTCTTCACGAAGTGAAGCGAACGAACTATGGATTAACTAGTGTTGCTTTCCAATTAAGTTTATGTATCTTAAGGAAAGCTCTCAAGGGGTAAATGTGGCATCATATTGAATCCCTATTAGTCGTGAATCGGATTCCAAAACAAATTGAAAAGGTTATCACAGTGTCGAGAAAAATTGGTCTGAACATTTCAGTTTTCCAGGCTAAAGGACAGGAAATTTATGTATATAAATCCTATTATAATTATCGTGCAGTTTACTCATTTGCTGAGCTAACTACACTTGCAAGAGCAATTGTCTTGTATTCGGGAACATTTTTTCCCATTAACTACTTTTCTTACAAATTAGTAATAGTTTGATGTTGCTTTTATCATCGAACCGTGGCAACTTCCAGGCATCTTTTCACTTCGTCTGGAGGTAATGCAACTGCGTTTGCACCCTATAATTTGAGGTTCGTTCGATTCACGGTCGGGTCGTTTTTTTTCGTGACTGAAATTGATTTTTTCGGGAAAAGTTGAATAGTTTGATTATAGTTTGTCGGCTTATGTTTTATCGGCTTAGTTACCCTTTTTATGTCGCTTTAAAGGCAAAAAGTATTGATTTTTTTGAAAAATTTAGGCATAGTGTGTTGCAAGATTTCAAAGTTAATGAGTTGAAAATTTTTTATGACAACAATTTCTTATGGGATTTTTTTTTGTTTTCGACTAATGGGCGTCTATCCACTTGTTGTTGGCTTAGTGGCCGCTTGGTAAATACTGAAAGCTTATTTAATACTTGTGGTGTGTTATTAGACTTTTCTGACATTATTATCATTTCCCAAGAAAGTTTTTTTTTACTATTTTGCTATTTCCGTCTCATTTTCTATTCGCCAGCGTGCAATGCTGCGCTTGCGTTGTAATGCTCCGATTCGTCTCGCCTTCAACGCTTCGCATCTCTGTATATATCTTTTGAATAAAATGATTCTTCCGGTCTTTTTTCGTAAAATAAGTTTCAAAAAGTTGTCCAAGTTTCGGGAAAAATAGTACTTTATCGGGAATATTTGTAATTTTCAGACTAAACTAGAAAAAATTGATTGGCTGACCTCTTAAACTCACCACAGTTTAAATTTATTTTTTTACTTTTGCAAAATTTATGTTATTTTTGCAGGTTTTATCTTTCTTGCAGTTTTACGACTAATTCAGTCACCATATGCCTAAAAAAATAAAAATCAAAAATGAAATTTTTGTTCCGACCATTTGAACTAGCTTACAATAGATTAATTCAAAACACGAGTAACACCAGTTGTTCTGAGTATTTAAGTGCCTTTATGGAATAAAAAAATTGAAGAAAAAAAAGTGAAATATTTTTTCGATTTTCGTTTTTTCAAGTCATTTTTTGAAAACAAATTTTTTTTTGTCTTTTTTCATTCAGCTCCTCTTATCACACCATGCCGATAAAACGACACTAATTTGAAAAAAAAACGTTTTGGATCAATTTGAAAAAACTTTTTTTATGTAATCGTTTAAGACTATGGTCGGGACATTCTGTGCTTCTTGCTCAGGAACCGGCTATCCTCGTTTAATATGGCCCAGTTACATTTAATTTTATGATGAACATGATTTTGTGTGGCCCTGAAAAGCCTGTACATTTGCGTAACTTAAATGATTTTATTATTTCGATATGTTGTGTTATCTTTAGCACATCTACCCACCTCACATTTCGCTTGAACAGAAGGAGAGGTCAAATGTGTGCTTCCTCTCCTTCCCAGACTCAAACTCAGGGTGTATGGGGGACACAGTGTACTCATTCCGAATCAGACACTCCTCTCGATCCACAAACAGACTGAACAACCTACAGAAGCATCACTTCAATGTATACTCAGTCAATAAGTACCAGGTAAAAAAATATGCATCAAACTTTCGCAAGGCTCTATCGCGGCAGCGTGTTTGTTATCTTCAGGTCTGTTACTTCCAAAGTGTTCAAACAGGCCATTATTCCAAAAAAAAAATCTTTCGCAGAACAATTTTTGTTTTGCAAGCTAGGTGTAGTCTAGATATTCCGGAGAGTTATTGTAAAAAAAATACGTTTTTATTTGTGAGCCTTTTTTGTCAGGAAATTCGTCTTACTAAATTTGTTGAGAAGAGGAACGGGAGGCATTAAGGCTTCCATTGTGTTTTTACTACTTGAAACGGGTAGCATAAGTATAGATTAGTTTGTATGAGAGATTTATCGCATCAAAAATGTAACAGTCGATAGCCTTACGGTTTTACCCAATTTCGAAAATAACGATTTGAAATTTTCAAGTCCTGCCTAATGACCCAAGTCATTTTCAAGTGCTACTGAATGAGGTGTGTTTTTACTGGTTTAGGTTGTGTTTTCGAGATTAATGTATGTAGTGAGTATTACTCTTATATAGGTCTTGGTGATTTTTTTTCAGGAAAAAGAAATAAATGGTTCACGCTCAGTTCTGATTTTTCGTGGTTTGACTTGAAGTTCAATTCATTTTCCTTGTTAAAAAGAAGGCAAACTCCACAATCGAACAGCAAAAATGTAAAGCTCACGACAAACGTGATCGACTTCTAGTTTCGAAAGTGGAATTTGAATATCAGATTTTTCAGCGCAATTTAAAATTAACCTATTGATCCAGTTTTCTCAACTTGGGTTAATTTTACCAAAAAAACATCAATCATAAATTGTTCTTGAAATTCAAAGAAATTTAAGAGCATATCTTTTTTCTTTGAAATGCGAAACGTTTTTTTTTTTGGGTTCCGTGCGTTCATTACTCCTTTTCAACTTCAAGTTGGCTATGTTTAAATTCCCTTTTTTTCAAGGTGTAGTTTTTGCGGTTTGACTCAAAATGATTTTTTGCGGTTTCATTTGGTTATTTTTCCGACTTTTGGAGAAGAGATGGAGTATTTGTGCTGGGTGTGGTTTCTTTCTTCAGGGAAGTTTCGAATCTTTAACTGGACAAATTTCATACTATCTGAAAGGTATTGACGCCCTGAGCTCATTTCAAAAATACATTTCAGGTGTGCTTTTTTGTAACGTTTTTGTGGCTTGAAAATTGCTAACTCGATGCAAGTAACGTGCGATATATTTCGTTCTTTTATCGCGTGATCAGCGATTTAATCCGGCTCAAAAATCGTTCCATTTTAATGTGAAGCAAATTAATGGAACTATTATTATGCTGGTAGAGGCTAATTACATCATTTTGTACTTTTCATTTCGTGATTTGTGGAATATTTTTCAAATTTTTGTGCTTGGTCTGTAGGTAACGGCAAAGGTCCTGGGTTCGAATCTGATTGCGTTAAAAAACCCATTGTCGGATTATTATTGGTGTGCTTATGTTTTCATGTTTAATGGCGATATTGCGCCGATGAGCGAAAAAAATTTTGTGTTCGAGTGTCTGTGTTTTGAGGCTGAAGGGGACTTTTTAACTTAAGTCTTGTTGATTTTTTTCGTCTTTGAGGGTTTCTGCCAAGGTTTTGCTCATCTTTGTTATCGTTTGGATAATTTTCTTTCGATGTTTATTTCACCTTCCATTGTCTTGGTATCTTTTTCATATGAAATCTAGTTGCAACATCGGCTTAGTTGCAACATCGTAGAATTGTTTTTTTTTGCTGTACGCAAGTTACCATTTAGCTGCGTTCAGAGTTTTGATTAACTACTGCTGTTAGTAATTTTACTAACCTTGGCTTCGTATCTTTTGTTTATTTTTTGCTTAAAAGTTTTTTTCCGCCCAAATGATTTCGACCTACTTTTATCTGCGAAGTGACTTAATTTCTATTCCTTTCTAAAAAGGCTTAAAATTTTAATAGAAATTCTAGTTCAAGTTTCTCTTGACATCATTTTTTTCAGCTTTTTGTTTTTTTTCTTTTCCTTTCTTTTGGCTCGATAGGTTTTGGCATATATTATATCAGTTAAATGGCGATATTGCGCCAATGAGCGAAAAAAGTTTTCGGAAAAATTTTTTGCGAAAATTTTTGTTTTCAAATTTTTATCCGACTTTTTTTTGTATTGCAAGTGGTGCTAAGCTCGGCTTCGCCTCTGTGTCTGTTTTTAATTTTCTTAAAAACGTATCTTATTCCATAGATCTTAAAGGGCAGTCTGAAAAATCTTGGCTTTGCTCTGATAGGAACAGTCTTGTTTATTTTCAAGTTCTCTTCAAATTCCTTTATTAAATGGAAGGCAAATTACAACCGCCGAGAACAAACATGCAAGTGGAGTAAAAAGCGTGAATTACTTCTAGTTTGATAAACTTTAGTTTTGTGTCCAGAGTTCCGCGGAAAACATAAATAACCAATCAATCCGTTTTTTTTCACTTCAAAAAACAGATTCAGAGCTCAATCGAAAGGAGCGATTGTGGGCATCCTCCCTTTAGAAGCAGCTACGTTCTACTTTTTGAACTTGAGAAAAAAAGCTTCCAAAAAACAATCGAAATATCAAAATTTTTCCTAAAACATGCCCGCCCCTTTGAATTCAATGGTTCAATTAGAAGAACATGGCGCAAAGATCTTTCCTGCATAAATGGTTATACCCTTTTTTTTGTAGAAAAGCCGTTATGGACTTAGAAAAAGTCCATTTTTCGATTTTTTTCATCGTTTTTTGAAGTTTTTGCCCTTTTCTTGTAATTTTGCCGGCCAAATCTGACATTGAATTCAGTTGAAAGAACGGGTAGTGGGAATATCCCCTACGTAGGCGGCCATTTCTTTGTTTGAGGAGTGCAACATATTCTAAGAACATATCAATTAGGTACTTCCCGCTTTATCTAGGACCCCTGTAAAATTAGCTATGAATCCGGTTTTCTCAACAAAGTTTTATTGATAAAAGATTCTGAAATTCTTCAAGGTGGAAGGTGGTCTTTTGTCTTTCTTTGAAACTCGATAGTTTCAGAAAAAAATTAGCAGTTAGACTTCATTATCGCTTTTTCAAGTGTCGGCTATCAGTCTGTTTCACGAATGAGATCGTGTGTTTTTTGCTCAATAAAAAGCTTTAAAAATTTGTTTATGCACAGATTTGTATTTTGCGTTTTGATTTTTGATGTCATACGGTTTCCATTCTAACAATTACCCTTGTGATTAACACATTGATCGAAATCAGGGCTGAAAAGATTCTCATAATGATGTATACTACTAGGCTTCGAGCGACACCTCATTGTGTAACCTGATTTTAGGTGTGAAAACCACACCCGAAACCTAAGTTAATTTCAAATGCGTGTTCGGAGCAATAACAGAGAGCAAAATTACAACGCATCTAACGAAAACTGCATTATTTATGGACGAGATTGTTCATATTTTTCTGTTTGATACCGTTTTCTTGATACATTAATCCTTCCTGCACCAATTTTATGTTGAGTTTAATTAGCGTTGATTTTTGATTTAATAATATTGTTGCTAGAATCGAGTCAATTTGGTAAGATCGATTGTCTGATTTAGTTTGGGAGAAGGCCGCTTGCCACCATAATTTCAGTTTTTGCCCTGTGAAAGCAGATTATCTCGGTATTAATTGTATAGCAATTGGAATCGTTTCAGGGTTTCCAAGACTACCTCTACGGGGCTGTACACTTCCGTCAAATGAGGGACACATCAATCAAGAGAGGATACTTTCAGAAGGTACTCCAATTTTCTTGCTTAATTTATTTTTACTTGTGCTGTATCATAAATCAAAGTTTGCTTAAAGGTTAAGTGTTTGTATTTTGACCAGAAGCAAGAGTTGGTTTTTAGCCAAAAAATTTGACTCTTTATACGTATCTGGGGAATCTTTTAACTCGTAAAGCTGGTGTCCTCTCAAATGATAGAAGGACCAAATGTTTACATAAGCATAGCTTGTGTTATAGTATGAACTCTCTTTTTTTCCAACCTGAGTCGCAAATATTGTTGCGATGCAATTGTTGCGACAAAATGTGTTCATTTTGAAAGTGTTCATTCTGATAACCAGCTATTAAGTACAGCCAGTGCTAAGGATATTATGATTATTATTGTAGCTTTACAAGCAAAGGCTGAGGGGGCCGTTGGCCCGTTAAGAGTCAGAGTCATTAATGAAGTATGGGATCCAGTCTGGAGGACGACGTTATGTCAAGTCTGGGATGGGCGTTGACAGGAGGCAGTCTGCAGTTAGAATCTCTGCATAAGAGGCACCAACATCCAATTCTCCAGCTGCATAGAATATCAACATCGTACCAATCGTAAAAGTATTTGCAGAAGATTTCGAGCAGTCGTCGCTTTAATCCAAGGGGTTTAAAAAGTCTATCGATTCTGGAAGCAGATTTATCTACCTTGGCACGCGATACCAAAAGTGATTTCGCTGGACCTCAAGACGGATATAAGGTAGTTCAAATAACAAGCGATCACTGGACCTGATTATGCGGTGGATATGAACTTTAACAAACTCATGCCAGTTGAAGTCATATTTGCCGGACATAATGCTAGATAGGAGCAGGACGTCTGCAATTTGAAGGTGTAAGGAGACCGGTAAAATATTCAGGCGGGTGAATCTGTCTGCATAGAATACGTCTTGGTAGCCCAAGATCCACTTGGTGCATCGGCGCTGAACACGCTCAATAATAACCATGTCACCTTTCGATGCGTCCCAAGCAGCTGAAGAATAAGAGAATATCGGGACAACAAGTGATTTGTACAAGTTGAGGAGCTGGGTAGGCGGAGGTGAATGTGCTGTGTTTCGTTTGACGAGGAAGAAGCACTTGTTAGCTTTGTTGCACTTCGCGGAAACATAGAGCTTCCGTGAGAGGCTATCGTAGGAGCTTCCATGAGAGGCTATCGTACACAAAGACGCCAAGATCTCGGATTGAGGATGCCAATGACAGCTCGTGATCACCCAATGTAATACGAGGTAGATTTGGTTTCTGAAATCTCAACAGCTTGCATTTTGGCGATATTAAACGGAAGCCCGTTTTTCTCGGACCTAACGAAGAGGGTGGTAGCATCGTCGGGCAACGAGCTTTCATTACCAGCAGGAGTTGTTGATAGGAGCTTCGTATCATCTGCGAATGAGAACACGGACTATTAACTCAGACTATTATATTACTAATAGGACTTTAGCTTCAAGGTATCATGGATCTGTAGCTTAAAATTAAGGAAGGAGGCCAGCAACTTTTTTTTTTCAAATTGACTGGTACTGCTAATGCGTCGAAATTGGCTTGTGTCACTAAGCAATTTTGTAGACTCATATTTGGCGTGCCTCACTTCAAATTTTGTAGACTCAAAGTTTTACTCAGAGTTTTCCCAGTAGCGTTATCGGTCATATTTTAGCTTGTGTATGCAAAGTGCAACTTCGCCTGTGTAGAAAGTTGTTGTACCCAAAAGTAAACCCGTCCAAAATTGAATGTCCAGAATTAGAAATTTCAAGATGATTAATTATATCGTTACATGCTACTTCAATATCAACTACAGGTGTGTTATGGATTAGAAATCAAATTGCAGAAGAAAAACGGGAAGAAACTTCAAACTGACAAAACATAAACAGAATTTAATGTTTACTCAATTACTTTACATGGAGGCAAACTCTATATTTACACATGGTTTCAATTTTTTTTTTACCACAATCATATATAGATACAAGCTACATACCTAATCCATCTTTTCTGAACAATAAGTACAGAAATCAGTACGAAACAATATTCAACTCTCTAAGAATTTTAAAATCAAATTAGAGGAATATTTCATGACTCAAAAGTATCACAGAACTTAGGATACGATCTTTTTCCACACACAACTCAGACAAGGCGCATATGTGAATTCAGGCAGTTTTGTACTGAAGTAGCATTTTTTTAAAATGGAACGGAATACGTTTGAAACGAGCAATGGAACCACATGTTTATCGCGAGTCTGGACAATTGTGCCAAAGACATTTTTGTCCCAGATAAAACTGTCCGAAATTCAACAAATGTCCAAGGCATTTGATTCCCAGACGAAATTGATCAAAAATTGTTCAGCTAATTGCCAACCAAGATAACAACCGGATTATTTTGATAAAGTTTAAGAATAAGAAGAATCATTTTGATAAGGCCGCGCATCTAGGCAATAAAACCAGACTTCTCACTCTGTAGTCTAATAGAGACTCAATCAAAAAAAAGGACTCAAATCATTTGCACATATCTGAACAATTATTGCTTGGTTGATGCTTACGTCAAACGTAGCTCTGACTGACTCTAGTGTCATTAGTATAGCTCTTGAGTGTGTGTCCAACAATGGAAATCTTTATGACGAATATAAACAATGAAATGCCAGTTCATGATGCATACGAACTGCATATTTCAAACATCGAATTGTGACGGGCGCCTCAATTTCGTGTTGATGTGTTTTGTCAAAATGTATTAGCCGTGTGCGCACTTTGCAAGACAAGGTAACTATTATTAATGATCATATTCCTTTCCCAGATCCAGCCGACAATGAAAAGTAAAAATTCAGAACAACTCTTAAAACTAGAGCAGTTGTAGCAGATGAGCCACCTCGACAAACAATTTTTTCGGTTCAAAGAGACATAAACAGAGAAACTGCATCGGTGATTCCAAACTATTCAGCCAATCAGAGAACCGATAACAGAGTCAAGCAGGAAAGACGGCCCAGAATGCAGGAACCAAATTTATCATCAGAACTAAGTTGATTTTTTCCTAGAAAATTTCACAATTTAGCTAGACCGGTTTTGAAAACGGCAAAATGATCAATGTAATCAAGCTTTTCTTATCCACTTTCCTGCTGACCCAACCGAGTCAACCCGTACAAGTGTTTCTCTATGCCCTTTTTACCCAATTTTGTGTTTTTCGTTTTGAAGTTTCAACCAAATTGAGAATTTTTTTCTGACCCGAGATTTGACATTCCTACCTTTTGATCTTGAAACCAATGACTTCACCGCTCGGCCAAACGCTCTTTGAACTTTCAATTAATCTTGTTTCAAAATTCGGTCTCGCTGTGTTTTATCTATGGTTATTTGGTAGACATAGAATCTAATTACAGAACGATCAAACAGACGCAAAACATCAAAGCATTAAAACAAGGTCAAATCAAAGAAAATAGTTTCGGTCATTTTTTTTGACAAATTGTACAAATGTTTGGTACAATTTTTTGTTAAGGAGAGTTTTGTCAAGGACATAAATGTCTATGCACTGTTTATCGTCATACCTTCAACAGTTTCCGGCGCAGCTGCAAAGAAAATTATACACAACTTCAAGTTACAGTACAGTTTTTCAAAGCCATCGGGAAAACTAGTGGTAATACTTCAATAAAAAATCCAACAATTAAATGGAGGAATTCAATTTATTTCACGAAGTAATTTCACCCCAGCAGAAAGCAAACCAGAAGATTACAAACCAACATTGCCACCAACTCAAAATAGAATATATCAGGGGCGGATCTAGGATCGAGCAAAATGAAATTCGGAGCTCTCCCAAAGCACTAAAAAGACCCAGTTTTGGTAAATTTTTCTGCGTCGCAGGAAAAATTTTGAATAACAGGCATAAAAGGCGTTTTTTTGGCGCGCGCTCCCCCTCAAAATTAGTATATTTTCGCGCCAAAGGCGCCATTAGAAAAATTTTAGGGTCCGTTATCAAATATAGATATCTCAAAATAGTACAAAGGGGACCCTTTGGGTCGGCAGGAGGTCGAATCCCTGAAGGGGGGGGGGGGGCGTTCCCCCCGTTATTTCACCCCTGGAATATATCAAGTTTCACAATCCATCCTGAACTAAAACCCGAAATTACAGCTCTAAATGTGCCATTGCTAATAAGACAACCGCATCTACAGTCACATCAAGGATTCATTCAAATAAAAGTTTGCAAATAGATACACAATCACAGATATTCCTCAAACAAGCCTTTAAAAACAGGAACCCTGAACAAGTATTTTAAGACAAGCTTACAACGAACCATACACGTCAAGAATTGGTTCTTTATGAATTAGATCTTCTAAAGTAATAGAATACGGATAACCAAATGGAAAAGCTATCGAGACCAAATCGTATAACCAACAAATTCATCATTTTCACCAAAAATCAAAACCAGAGATATCAGAGGATTATACACTACGAAATAAACCAGCTCAAAATGTCTCGGACGATGATGAAGTACCACTCCAACCACAGCCAAATGCCGTATAAAGCTGGAAAAAGTATCAAAAATGAGAAGAGAAATACAGGAGTTGTAAACAAGAAATGCTTCAGCCTTACCACAAAGTTGCGATAAAAAATTAAAATGATGAACGACTTCAACATTTTTGATTATCAATTAAATTATCGCTTCCAGCTTTATATCTTTAAATTCGATTGTTATATATTTATTACTACCAATCATATTTTATGACTAGCATCTAAAATATTTATTGCAAAACTGACCAATTTATGGGCAGAACTTTTTGAGAATATCTAGAATAAATGTGATCTCCAACACTAATTGTTTTCCAGTGTTTTATAGATCTAGCGAGACCTGAGAAATAAGAGTATCGGACTAAGATGTTGCACGAACCCTTCCGGCCGAAATTAGATAGCGTAATAAACAGACGATGTACTCTATCTGAAATTACTCTTTGAGATAGCAATCCAGTCCCATCTCAGTATAAATTTTTAACGCCTAAACGGTGAAAACGGCTCTGATATCCTTCCTAATGGAATTGAGGCAAGTTAGTTGGTCTCAAAAAAATTTTCAGGTTATGGCAAAAACATGGATTTGCTAGTGGTGTTGGGATTCAAAAAATAGATTCTAGGACGTTGTGGAAAGTTTCGAAAATCATGAACTGCTTTAAGTAATTTATAGGGCATTTGAAACATACAGGGTGTCTTTTTTGTTACGACTTTTGAAGAAAACGATGAAATATTGATACTCAGATGGTCTTTCTTCGGTCCTTTTTCCGCGATCAAAGCAGTAGTGTTTGACGAAATTTTTAAACCCCTTAAAGAAGTCGATAAACTTGTATTTCGTGTTTTTGTGACGGTGTTCATAAAATTGCCAGATTGGTCTAAATCATGCGCGTTATTTCCGGTTTCTGTCATAGCGCCTAGGCAGCAAGCTATTCCGCTTTTAACGTTATTCCAAATCGTGTTGAAGCGGATCAATGGGTGGAACTAATTCCTCACTTAACGCAATAATCATCAATATGAACGAAAACCCAGTTGTCGATTTGAGACCTTTTTGAAGGAGGCGATTTTTCCAAAATAAAAATTGAATTTTAAATGGAAATTTTGCTGCATTGGGTTATTACTGTTCCGACCACTTCTAGAAGTGAAGTGAAGATAAGGACGTAAGGATTAGCCCGCACGTCTTCCTCTAAAGATTATATACTTCACAGAAATTGTTCTGTATTTTCATATAAATTGTTCAACTAAGGAATGTGTGGGAGCAATTTAAATCCCATCTAATTCCGCTGCATTTCGAACGTCATTTTTATATATTTTAAACTCATGCCTATCATCTAAGTGAGAGCATTGTCTGCCCACCTTCTAGCGAGAAAAAAAATGGAAAGGAAAGTTGCCTAAATTAGATAACGGGGGTGGAACATCCTGTCGGGAAGGAACTATGGGGACAGCTGTTTTTTTTTCAGCCGATTTAAGAAGCTAATTCAAATAGAGGTTCAAATGTAGTATCGTATTGAATAATACCTTTTCAGCCGTGGTTCGGATTCCAAATAACAATTCATAAGGTGTTTCGGTGTCGAGAAAAACAGTTATAAAGTTTTTCCGTTTTTCAGACTAAATGACAAAAAGTTTCCGAATGATACTTAACTCTCAATTCATTTCTTATGAAATTTTTTCATTAGTTAGTCTATGCGTGCCTCTACTTTGTGCAGTTTCTTGTGTTACTTATTCAAACTTTACTGAACTGAAGAAAACTTAGCGAACAAATAAAAAAGTTTTATTTTTAGAGTTCATGAACGTGGTTCAGACTCTTATAAAGGTCGTGATGATTTTGTTTCGTTATTTCAGGAAAAGTCTCAAATGTTTTTAGGCTGAATTTTTTTTTTCGGTTTGATTTCTTTTTAAATTTACTTCATTTTCTTTGTTAAAAGGAAGGCAAACTCCACCATCGAACATTAAAAGCTAATCGATTTCTAATTTCGTAATAGGATTTCAATGTTCTGATTTCCCAGTGGACAAAAAAATACCTCTATAACCACTTTTTCTCAAATTGAATTAGTTTTAAGAAAAAAGTGTCATTAATTAATCGATCTTAAAATTCGAAGAGCTTTAAGGCCATATATTTTTTTCGACAATTGAATTTTTTCGTTAAAAAAAACAAGTCTAAAAAAACACGCTAAATTTGATTTTTCGCGGTTTGACTTTTGATTTTTTTTTTTAATTCACTCAATTTCCTTTGTTAAAAGTAAAGCAAACTCCACTCTCGGATAGAAAAACTGTAAAGGTCACGAAAAACGTGATCAAATTCTAGTTTCGAAAGTGGAATTTAAGTTTCAGATTTCCCAGCGTAAGAAAAGTTTTAGTTATGACCAGTTTTCTCAAATTGGGCTAATTTTATCAAAGAAGTGTCCATCATAAATTTTTCTAAAATTCAAAGAGCTCTAAGGCCATCTATTTTTTCCAAAAATTTTGTCTGTTTAAAAGTTAGTGCTAAGTTCAATTGGCTTGCTTTCGGTATTAGTATTTTTGGTGAAGAGTCAAATTCTCACTCCAAAATATGAAAAAACCAAACATATTATCTTTGCAAGATCAGGTGCCTCAAATAATTCCTATCATACATCACGAGTGATATTTGATTCTAGAGCTCTCGCAGTCGTTATTTGAACCCCATTAAAAATTGCGAAGAAATTCCGCAGTGTAGAAAAAGCGACTTAATTTTTTTTTAAAATTTTGGTCAAATTTCGAGTGACTAAAGCAACAAATACAATTGTTCTGAATTTTTCTTTATTTTTTGTCTTGGGTTAGTTTTATGATAGAAATTGCCGTAAAATATGCGTATTTAACTGTTTATATCAAGTTTACACATAAGTGCTACTCTTTTTTTCTGATCCGCTTCGATTAACTTTTTTTGGAAAAAACTTGAACGAATAGTTTGAAACTATATTTTGGGCGTTTAGTCAGTGGTGGTGCTTTCCTCTCTGCCCTTCATCTCTCTGTGGCTGGAAGTGGTGAGAGTGGTGGGCGATGACTTCTTCCTCAATGGCGAAGTTTCTTTGGAAGTGGCCTGTCACTGTCTAGACCAATGGAGTCATCCGCTGCCTGGATCACAGCTCCAGCTCCCCCTAATGGGCAATGTGTTCGAAGTAAGACCAGTACAGTTGAGAACTGTAAATTTGAACAAGGATTTTGACGATGAACTTTTTTTAGGAATTGGCTTAGGTTAATTAGCTCAAATCCTTCTTTGAAGTGACTTGCCTGCCAGAAAGTATTGCTGATTTTGTTTTCTTTGCACCGAAATGAATTCTAAGTTAAACCTGATTCTTGTTGTTTCATCGCTGAAAAGCTAATAATTTTTGCGTGTATAGGTCACGTTGCCGCATCAGGGTCAAATGAGTGTTCACGTGAGCAAAAATGGGTTCAGTCAACTGCGGGATGGAACAACACAAGGAAGAAGGTACAGGGGAGATGCGCGTATTAGTAGGGTACTGGGATCAGTAGTTGATCTGGATCTGTACGCGTGCTTCCAGACTCTCCTGCCACATATGCAACTAATCTGGGAATTGGTCCTTCTTGGTCAAGTTAGTTGAGATAACCTGGTTTACTATCACCCAATCCAAAGACCACTCATTGTTTCGAATAAATAATTTATAATTGTGTTACAGCCAATTGTGGTAATGGGATCATCGCCGGACATTACATCTCGGATGGTCTACATTCTCACTAGGTATGCAGAAATTAAATTGATTTCCTGCCGTCCAATTCGGCCCCACCCCCATTTCGTGGACTTCGTCAAAGGTGTGACGTCCTCTTATCAAACTTTTATCATAGTTTTTCATCTTCAGCATTGATGTTCAAATACGGTGATTTTTCTTGCTGGAGTTTTTATTGCTTCAGCATAATTTATCCGTTCAAATGGGGATCAGACTATCGGCCCTACTTCACAATCCACGACTCGGAGTTTAAAGAGTTCACTCATGCTCCATCAGCCAACAGCAGCAGTTCAAACAGCTCATCAAACTCAGGTCGAGCAGCAAACACGGTACCTCTTTCTTCAAGTACTGGCCCTCCCAGAATCATTTTGGGCGTGACCAACCCTTTCTTCACAAAAACCTTGAGTCACTGGCCAAACTTGATTAAACTGGGAGGTCTGGAGAAAGATAAAAAGGGAGGAAGCGACACTTTGAGTCCGGACACTGGGCAGTCTAAAGGTGTGCTGTCCTCCTCGCCATCATCATCTTCATATCGACCCTCATCTTCATCCACAAGTAAACTGTTCCTAAAAAGAACAAGGATAGCCGGTTGCTGTTCAAGTAGCTCAGAATGTTCTGACCATATTCTTTACACTTACGAGCGAAGTTTATAAGTACGAACCTTTTATTTTTTCTTACCTAACTCGCTAATAAAAGTGTTCATTAAAAGTGTTCACGTATTTAGTGGCAAGTGTCCTATGATCACGAGCGGAAATTTCGTAGCATCTGTTCTCGGCTTTTTTGTGGCTAGTGTTTATGATTTATTAAGCGTCCGTGGCTGAGAGGTCTGTGCTTGAGTGTAATAATCTGTTATCGAAGATCGATTTCGACACGTTGCGTAATTTGTACTAATTCGAGGCTCATTTCTACTTCTTAATTCAATTTGTAGAGCTGCTTTTTGTCGTGTTCTCGTTAGCGTTTGCAAGGCGCAGCTTCACCTCTGTGTAAAAAAAACTACAAAAAATTGTATTTTAATTAATTTTTGTGCCTGGTGTGATGAACGGATCTGATAGAAAGACTAGATTTTAGGTATTTCCAATTTTTATAGTAAAATAGGCATATTGGAAAACAGTTTTCTTCAAAAAATGTTTGATAAAAAAACTGAAAATTTTTTCATTTTTTTTGCAGACATTTTTTTTGATGAGGTATTAAAGTTTTTAAAATTCCCAAGACGTCGCTAAAAAAGTTCATGGCTTATTTACTACTAATATGCAACTTTCCTTCTGTAATAAGACTGCTCGCTTGCTTTACTCGCTCGAATTTAACAAAATTTCAACTTTTCTCACCGGAACTGTTTATTTTTAAATGTTCGAATCACGACTGAAAGAGCTTTAATATGATGTATCACTCAACCCAGTCCGATGATTTTTTGTGGTACCTCATTTTGCATGGAAAATAAAAAACCAAAACACCGAAATACTAAGTTCCTCCCCATTTTCAAAGCTCGGAACAATAAGATGAAAATCATAAAGTTCTATGCTTTTTCTGTAACCCTAGACATGTTATTGCCAAGTTGAGCAAGTTTCATTGTTTACTCTTGAGATAAGCAAGGTTATTGCAATCGGGTATCAGTCTTTTTTTCTCGTAAATAACTGGTCACAGAGTGGTCAAAATTAGAAATGGTACATTTAAGTTCAATTCATAATGTTCATCAAAGTTCTTAGCGATCCCGACACACTTAGCCTGGAGGTAACGAATACGCCTGGGACGGCAAAGGTCTCTGACAGGACGGGTTGTTTTTAAAACAGGAACCATTCAGTTTCAAAAAAATTGTCGGCTGAGTATTTGTCTGCTTATGTTTTGTCGGTTTAGTTGACATATCGTAGAATTTTTCGCAATTGACATTGTAGTTGCTCTAAGTGTTCTGATTTTTTCTGCTGTGATTAATTTTTACTAAACTGGACATCGTATGTTTTGGTTTCGGATTATTTGTCTGCTTATATTTTATCGGCTTAGTGACCTTTAAATTGCACAAAGTTCTGAAACTCCTAATGTAACTCAAATCTTACAAAGTGCTATAGATTTTTCAGTTCGATTTTTTTTTGACAAAAGTTTTTGTTTCAGCTTTTTTTCCTGTATTCGGCCTTTGTTATACCGATTTACGGGCCTCATATTGCGTCTTTTGACGAGCGATAAAAAGCCTGTGTGTGCGTATCTGTGTTTTGAGGGCGAGGGGAACTCAAAACTTTTTATTAGCTTCATCTTGTTTCATTTGACTATTAAATAAAAATTTTTGAGGAGGAGGGGGGCTTAAAATTTTGAGGCAGAAGAGGACTTTTTATAAATCTTAAGTCCTGTTGATATTTTTTGGCTTAAAGGGTTTCTGCTGAGGTATTTTCAGCTTTGTAACCGCTTGTTAAGTTTTCTTTCGATGCTAAGTTCACGTTCTATTGTCTGTACATCTTTTTTTTTTTCATAATTAGCCTTATTTATTTCCATCGATCTTGTTTTACCGACTTTTTTGATTTTTTTTTTCCGGCTTATGGCTTTCTTTATTTGCATCGCAAGTGGTGCAAAGATCAGCTGCGCCTCTGTGCAAAAATTTGAAGTTCAATTTCAGCATTCGTGGCAAATGTGATAGTTGTTTTTCGTTTTAGAATCTGTTCGAGTAATGAAAGCTAGCAAAAATTCTGCCAAAGTTCTGGACTCTAGGCCAGGTAGGAAATTTTTATTATCTTGATTTAACCAAGAAGTGCATGGGCTTATATTTATCTTTAAAGGTGTATACACCAATCACAAACTATATCTGGAAAAAGACAGAACGATGGTAAAGAGACTACTGCGGGCAAAAGAGCAGAGAAAACCTCCCGAGGTACTCTCCAGCTGGATCCGAAAATTCTTCAGAGAGCTCACTGAAAGCTTCTCAATCCCACTGGTAAGTTCATTGATTGTTACACTTCCGAGAGCAAGTGTATTTTAATCGGTAACTACACTTTTCCCCCGTAAACAACTCATCTTGCAATCAGTACTTGCTTTTCTTACTTGCTTTGTTATTGAACCTTAACAACTTCTAAATGCGTTTCCACTTGTATTTGTACCCTTACATCTGGGGTCTGAGTCTGTATGTATGAAATTGAAAATTATTTTTCCGGGAAAAATTGAGTTGTCTGACTATAAATTATCGGCTTATGTTGTATTTGTTGGCTTATTTACCACATCGAGGAAGTATTAGCCTTTTTCATAGCAGATGCGAGTGTTTCGATTTACTCCTGTAATTTGTAAAATTTATAGCCCTGACGTTGTATAGTTTCTTTGGTTTTCTTTTGTGTTAAATAGGTTCGGCTTATGCTTTATCGGCTTAGTTTTCTTATTTTGTGTCATTTCAAAAGCGAAAATGGTTGATTTTTTTCTCGATAAATTCAGGTAGTTTTTGTTGCAAGATTTCAAAATTTTAAAACTTAATTGCTCGGTTTTTTATGACATTTTAATGACATTTTAACTTTTTATGATATTTGTTTTCCATCTCAATGGGCGTCTACCCACTTGCTGTCGGCTAAGTGACCGATCCGAAAATACTAAAAGCTGATTTATAACTGGTTTTTTGGTTTCCGAATTTTTTTCTGAAATTATTTGCATTTTTCCCAGTAAAAGTTTTATTTCGATTTTGTGATTTCGGTCTCATTTTCTATTCGCTAGCTTGCAATAGTGCACTGTCATTGTATCGCATTGTGTACAAATCTAAAACAATCAAAATGTCTTCAATTGTCAAGGTTTGGTATGTTCATCTGATGTTGCTAATTGAAAAGATCAGTAAACCGTCAACATTTTTTTATATCGAGAACGGAAACATAAATTTCGAGAACTGAGTCATTCACTTCCAGACTGTAATCCTCGTATATTAAAAGTGTGTGTTAATGTGTGCTGCAGGAACACTATCTCTCAACGCTCATGCCATTGGCCAAGACTGTTTCTCCCTGGAAAGAGTCCCCCCAGCTGAAATCATTCGTGGCACAAGACTTCCTCAAACATATCGAAAGAGCAGGACCTCAACTCACGTCAGGGCTTAAGGGCGATTGGGTTGGTCTATACAGGTACATATTTTTTTTGCAATTTTGTGATTTACAAGCAATGTCAAACATAAAGGGTACCTTTTAAAGTGCCGATGGAGTTTTTTTTAGTTAGATCGAGCGGTGTTGTTTCTTTTTTCTAAAAAGTCTAAAAATTGGTTATAGCTCAATTTTTAGAATTGATGAACGTAGTGAAGACTTTAATATAGGTCTTGGAGATTTTATAAGTTTTTTTCCTCGAAAAAGGTCTTAAAATTAGTTTAATCAGGGTGTTTATCCACGTAATATGTACAACAAATAGAAGACGTACAGCAGCGAGTGTTATAAAAACAGTCGGCTTTCAATCGTTATTCGAGCTGTTTTGAAAAATTGTCCAATTTTTTTAATGAGTAATGAACATAGTGAGGACTCTTATATCGGTCTTGTTGAATTTTTTTCCCATGAAAAATCTTGAGCTCTAATTTGATTTTTCACGGTTGACTTCTGGTTTCTTTTTTGGCTTAGTTTATTTCCTTAGTTAAAAGGAAGGCGAACACCACTGTCGAACATCAAAAGTGTAAACACCACTGTCGAACAGCAAACTGTCAAATGCAAACACCACTGTCGAACAGCACTGTCGATCACGGTTTTGAAAAATGTGATCGACTTCTAATATGGAAAGAGAATTTTAATTTTCAGATTTCCCTGCGGCATAGAAACCGATTGAGTTAGTTTTTATCGAAAAAGTTAACCATGTATCGTTTGTGAAATTCAAAGAGCTTCAAGGACATCTGTTTTCTACTTTTTCAGAATACAAATCTGTTTTTTTTTCTGTTGATTGAATCTTTTGCAACTGTCAGTTGGCCATGTTCTTTTGCAACTGTCAGTTGGCCATGTTATATGTTGGCGGCTTGAAAAATTGGAATCACCGCATCATCTTAAAACTGTACTTGTGGCAGTTAATGGACACCTTATGAACGCAACTGCTTTTTGAATACCCGTTCTATTTAGACATTCGGAGCGTAGTATGATTACTCCAAGGCCATTTTTTTCTAACCTAAGTCGCATGTTTTAGTCGTCTACTTCTGGTGGCAAATTTACAGCTCATGCAGCATTCGCAGTTTCATAGCTTAAGCTGAGAATTTGATTACGAACAGTTCATGCTTTTGAATTCATAAAATTACATAAAATAATCTGAAAAAAGCGACTGAATTAATAAAGCATTGTGTATGATAATCTTGGGTTCGTTATGTTGGTAATAATCAGGGTTTTCAAAATGTGTCATTTAATTGACGAAAAAATAGTGTTAAGATGATGCAGTGAATCTGATTTTTCCAGCCAACAACATACCCAACAGACAGTTGCAAAAGATTCAATGAATGCAAAGAAACAGGAAAAAAAACTGATTTGTGTTTTGAAAAAGTAAAAAATGTATGTCCTTTAAGCTCTTTGAATTTCTCTAAAAATGTTTGACTGACTTGTTTGATAACAAATAACTCAATTTGAGACAACTAGATCAAAAGGTAAAGTTTCTATTCCGCTGGGAAATTTAATAACTGAAATTTTCTTTCCATATTAGAAGTCGTTTTTCGTCACCAGTTTCCGTGATCTGATTGAAACTCAGACTTTCTGTCGGGTAATTTTTTTTTCGCGCTGAAGAGGTCTGAAAATGACATCGCATCGCCCATCGAAATTGGATGCAGCTAAGTTGGTTGTTTAAAATGAACGTAGTGAAGACACTCAATTAGGTCGCGATGATTTTCAGGAAAAAATTTTCAAAATGTTCTAGCTCATATTTAATTTTTCGCAATATGGCATTCGATTCCTTTAACTTCAACTGATTTCTTTTTCAAAAGGACGGCAAATTTCAGTATCGAATTGGAAAAGTGTTAAGGTCACGAGAAATGTGATCGACTTTTAGTTTCGATTTTAATTTTTCTTTGCGAAAGCAAGTGTCTGGTAATCGGAAACTAGACTTCTTCCCGTAAAAAAAAGTTTTTGTGACTTTTGATTTCTTTTTTTTAGTTCAGTTTGTTTACTTTGATAAAAGGAAGGCTCACTACACTGTATAACAGCAGTAAGGTAAATAGCCACGAAGTGATCGGTTTCTACTAGAAATTAACTTTCAGATTTCCCAGCGGAATAAAAAATTTACTTATTGATCCAGGTAGATTTCGGATCAATGAACGCATGTCGGCTTAGTGGCGGCTCGCTACAAATTTAAAATTTTATATAATGCTGTTTGTTTTGTTTCTTGACTATTTTTCTGATTTTTTTCGCAAATAGTTTTTTTTTCGATTTTGTTAGTTTCGTCTTGAATTCTATTAGCTAGCTTGCAGTGCTGTGCTTGCGTTGGATCGCAAATGATGCGAAGCTCGGCTTCGCCTCTTTGTTACAATTGCGACAGCAAGTGTGTTGCAACCGGGTACTAGACTTTTTGCCATAAATAACTTTGTTCACTGAATGGTCAAAATTAGAAATGGTAAATGTAGGATCAGTTCATAATGAGTTCCATTTCTTTGCATCTCCGGCACACTTGGTCTGAAGGTAATGAACACGCCTGAGACGGCTAAGGCATTGAGGTCAAATTTGACAGGAATTGTTTTTTTTTTTCAAACAGGAATTATTCCGATTCAAAAAAATTGTCGGCTTATTATTTGTCTGCTAATTTGTTGTGTTAGTTGCCATATCCTAGAATTCATTAGTCGATGGAGAAATATTCTGATTCAAAAATAATATCGGCTGATTATTTGTCTGCTAATGTGTTGTCGTCTTAGTTGCCACATCGTAGAATTCATTATTTGATCGGGAAATTTTCCGATTCAAAAAAAAAATTGTGGGTAGATTGGACAAAACTGGATGTATGGTGGTAGTAGAATATGGGTGAAGTCCCATTTGTACCAAGGTTCAATCTTACCATAATGAAAAATCGGTCCCATTTGTACCAAAATTTTTTAACTCGTTTTCTGATTGGTCGAATTGTGAGCCAACGAATTATTACATTAATTTTCTACTGTTCAAACAGAAGAAAACTAGGCTGCAGAATAGTGATCGCCGCAGTCGCGCCAACGTGTTGCGAGCTCGCCAACTAAGGGTAGGACTCTATACAAAAATCAGAGCCGATTATCGCCGCCGATTATTACCCACCGGCGACCTTAAACCAAGAGCTCAAAATAGTCGGTTTAGTAGTCTTTGGATATTTTAAGTACTAACGGGATTGATTTTTTATTTTGGAACAAATGGGACTGATTTATTACACTACGCTTAGCTTGTGTTATAGTTTGAACTTTATTTTTTTTCCAACCCAAGTCGCAAATATTATTGCGATGCAATTGTTGCGACAATGTGTGTTGATTTTGAAAGTGTTTATTTTGATCCAGCTATCAAGTACAGCCAATGCTATAGATATAAACACAGACTATTATATTACAAATAGCACTTTAGCTTCAAGGTATCATGAGTCTGTAGCGTAGAGGTAGGGAAGGAGACCAGCAACAAAATAAGAGGGTTCGAACCTGGGCATGGTCGGATTTTTTCAATGAACTTTTTCGTATACTAGTTACTGCTAATGCGTCATAATTGGCTTGCGTTACTTAGCAATTATATAGACTCATAATTGGCGTGCGTCAATTATGAAATTTTGTAGAACCAAAGTTTTACTCATTCAGTTTTTCCCAGTAGCGTTATCGGTCATATTTTTGCTTGTGTATGCGAAGTGCAACTTCGCCTCTGTGTCATTTTGGTACTTGTGAGTACCCACCGAATATTTAATTGCTAGCCATAAATTGAAATTAAAAACTAGTTATTTTTAGGCAGTTTCTTTCAAGTCACAACTTCAATTGCTGGCTGTTGTCCAGAAAGACAGAAATTAACCAAAGACTTCAGCTGGTTCACCTAGATGCAATAAGTCAAGCGGTAAGCTAATTTTTGATTATCAGTTGTTGTATCAATTTCGATAATTTAGTCCAGACATTTTGTAGAAGTGACATCAAATAATTATGCTAGTCACATAATTGTTTCACTTTTTATCTAATTGTTTTTCTAATAATATCTTGGCTTGAGACGATACTAGCTACTATTGAAATAGCCTTTTTAGAATCTGAGCGAGTGGCTGGACGGGAGATCTGAAGTGGAGGCAGTTGACCTCCTCATTAAACTGAAGGAGAAACTGCGACGTCTTTCAGCAGGAGTGCCGACACGACTGCAGATAGACGAGAACGTTTACAAGCGAATATATGAAATGATGCAGGTCGTCGTTGAAAAGCTGCCTCAAGATCTGAAACAATCTTTACTGAATAATTCTCTATTCGCAACAGCACATAGTTTAAGCGGGGAGTCTTCGGCAGAAATGAGTTCAGAACACAGTTAACGTAATAATACAGAGGCTCGCCAACAATATTAGTTCAAAACAGGTGCTTTTTATTGCAACATACTGTACTGATTACACTCGAATGACCTTGATACAGGAAGACTTAAAAATCATAGATGTTTAGTGTAGATAAATTAGAATTCGTTCGTTCTGTCCTTATTTATTTGTACATGATATTTGGACCCTTTTCAGCAGTAATAAATTATATGAACCCAAATTACGCCAAGCTGAGCGAGATTAAAGTATTTCTATTTTACAACGTGCAAATGTTTGAAGATTCCGATCGATGTCTATCAATTATCTTGTCTCATAGTTTGAACCTTCTTTTATCGCTAACCATGGTTTGTAAAGTAGTAAATTAACTCAACGTGACTGATATCTTTTCAGTTTAAAATCTTTTTTATTCGCAAGTTTGATGCGTGGATATGACTTTTTAAGTCCCATGTGAGATCCAAACGTATTTAATAAGCTTATGATTTCTGACGTTGTTTACTAGGAAAAGTAATGAAAGTATGTTTAAACGTTAATAAAACGAGTTAGCATATTGGATAGTTTTCAGAGTAGCGAATGGAAGGGGACGAAGTATACTGTATATGTCGCAGCACAGACATTTCCCGCTTTATGATTGGCTGCGACAAATGCGACGAGTGGTACCACGGAGACTGCATAGACGTATCAGCTGAAGACGCCAAAGTGATTAAGAAGTACTTCTGCGACAACTGCAGAAAGAAAAACCCTGGACTAAAGATAAAGTACAAAAGGAAATATAGAGAACAATTTATGATCACGCAGCCTCCAAGTGCAAATACTGGAGGAAGTAGTAGTCAGAAAGTGTCTCCAGTTGAGTCGACAGCCAGTGATAGTAAATCCTCCACTACGAGTCCAGTAGCCACGAAGCCTCCCAAATTATCATCTGTTGTCGTCGCCACGAAAGAACAACCGAAAACAGATAAGACAAGCGAAACTTCAAGTGTAGCGTCGACAAAGGTTTCATCAGAAAGGAAAAAAGATAATTTGATGTCCGAAAAGTCAACCGCAAAAAACGATAGTCTGTTAAGTTTTGCAACCACCAAGTTCTCCGAAAAGAAGAGTTCTGACAAATCTAGTTCGAAAAATTCTAGTGTTTTGGCATCGATCCTCAGTTCAACATCAAAAGTAGAAAACAACAGTGAAAGTAGAAAAGAAAGAGAAGCAGCATCATCAAAAGAGGAAAAGAAATGGAGTGAGAAGCCAATGGTCAAGGAGAGAAAAATAAGACCAGATGACGCAATTCTTAAGGACAAGCCTTTCAAACTGGGAAAATCGGATGCGGAAAAAAATTTAGAGAAATTATTACAAGCTCAATTACTGAAAAGCTCTGAAAAGACGAAGGATGATAATTCGAAACAAAATAGGAAAGGTGATTCAGAGAAACAAACTTCATCCTTCGCTGTCATGAAGATCGGCAAAGATGCGAAGAAAAATTCTGAGGTGTTCAGTAAAAATGAATCATCTGAAGCTGATGTTATTTCTGCAGTTGTTGAAAAGAAAAGCAATGAAAGTGTACGAGATTCAAAAGAAAAAGAAAAATCAAGCTCGTCTAAAGGCAACAACGATGAAGTTGTAAGGATGGCTGAATCCAGCTTGGGATCTGAGATGACATCTGAAAAAGTGCAATTAAAAGAACGGAGTAAAGACACCTTAGAACCGAGTCTCAATGATAATCATCTGCGTACTAATCAGGATGAAAACATTGATTACTCCCATAAAAGGCGGAAAAAGAGAAAGTATATGGACGAAGATGGCCACCATGGGAGAGGTACTGTGACTAGTAGCCAGTGTCTGGGACCAGGATGTATCAATAGGAGTAGACGCACTTCGAAATACTGCTCAGATGAATGTGGAATGAATCTCGGTAAGTCTCAAAGTGGCTTAAAGGAACCAGGTGTTTTTTCTTTGATAAACTTGATAGGATTCGACTAGTTTTATTCGCCGTATGGCATAAATCGATTGTTTAAAATATTGCGGTGAATTATACGGGAAAATATTGTTCTGATATATATGCTCTACTTCTTTGAAAAGTTTAGCAATCGAATCGATTGCTTGCAAAAGTTTAATTGTTTTAAAAATCGTTGAACTATTGAGTGGGCAATATTTTGGGTTCAAGAATCTAATATAACGTCAGCTGGTTTTCAGCTCGCCAAAGACTTTTGACTCTTCTGCCAGAAAAAATATCAGATTGGCAGAGGAACCCTCCAGTGGCCAACGAGAAAGATCAACAGGAGTTAGAGAAGATCAGAGCACAAAAAGCGGCTGTCCTAACCAGAGTGAAGGAACTCGACATTGAACGACAAGACTTAGAGCGAGAAATTTCATCTGCCAGACTTCTCCAACCTTTACCTGAAGACGACCCAGAATCGGAAGAGTCGGCCACTGGTGATATTTTCTGTTTCACATGCGGATCTTCAATAAGTCAGTTCACAGCTCTCAAGCATATAGAAAGATGTTTTGCTAAAATCGAGACCCAGACATCTTACGAATCAAAATATGCTTCAAACATCCCAATGTTGTTTTGCGATTTTTACAACACCAGGACTACAAGTTTCTGTAAAAGGTTAAAAATTATATGCCCAGAGCACTCGGCTAAAGACTATAAAGTCGGCGAATACGAAGTTTGCGGATGTCCATTACCGAATCCCGGTGAAGCTTTTTACGATGACAAATTACCACACGAGTACTGTAGAGTGCTAAAGCGGAAGTGTCTCAAGCATTATAAATGGGAGGTGATGCGAATAGCGACTATTGACGCAGAACGGGTCAATAATTTGATCAAATATGACGAGCTTCTGGAATCTGAGTCAAGATATGAAACTAGCTTGAAAACACGAGGAAGTGTAATGGATTTGATTTTAAACACGTGTCAAGCGCATTGATAAATTTTTGATGGTCAATTTCGAAATTTCCAAGCATGGCGCTAGCTGTTTTTATTCGACAAATTCCTCTTCTTAATAATCTTTAAATTCGTATTATCGAAACGCTTAAATTTAGTTTCTCAGTTTGCAATATAGTATTTAGTTATTGTTCATTTAATTCATTTCATCTAGTCTTAACATTGAGTCAGCAATGTCCACATATTTACTAAAATTTTAATCTTTTCAGATCCGTTCTTGCTTAACTCAGCTCAGAGTTATTCTCATTTAAAATAACAGTCTCGTGAAAAAACTAGAATGGATCAGATCATCACCACAATAGAGCCCGTGAGACAGTTCGCCAAGGACTCCATCCGACTGGTGAAGAGGTGCTCCAAGCCAGACAGAAAAGAGTTCCAAAAGATTGCACTGGCAACTGCGGTTGGATTCGCCATCATGGGCTTCATCGGCTTCTTCGTCAAGCTCATCCACATCCCCATAAACAACATCATCGTCGGTGCCTAGACATCTAAAGGGCCCGAAGCGTCAGATGTGATACTTGACAAAATCGCGAGAAGGGAAGCTATTCTTTATCACGTCTCGGCAATGAAATCAGCTGTGTTTTAGCATTTGTTTCTTTTCAAGAGTGTCTGCTATTATTCCTGTTCATATGTTCATTAATTGTAATTGTATGTCATATTATTTATCTCAATCGAAGTGGTCGTCATCATAAACAAAATTGATGATTTAATGGCCAAACAAGGAACAATTTGATTATTATTTTTTGTATGAGCTTTGGCTAAATTGTTAAAATGTTCTTGATTTAATTATAGTAGAGGCGGTTGTATAAATATCTGGCTATGGTTAATATAATTTTAGTTATCTAAGTTTTTATAATTCTCTTTGAAACAGGTTATATTTTGAAGCTGTATGTGGAATTAATGGTTAATTTTGAGCGGATATTGTTGACTTTCTTGCTTCCCTTCAACTAACTAAATGGACTATTAGTGAGGTCTGCAAAAAATCTGATAAACGGTCGGCGTCTCAGTCGTTTAAAAATGCAATTAGAAATTGCAGTCCTGCTATGAAACTTTTGTTTTAATTTGATAATTTAAATAGTGATTAACTTCAATAAATCTCCGTTTTTTTATTGGAAAAAGTCTTTTTTTTGCACGTTTTTTTTTTGATATTTTGGCGGTTTGAAATTATTATTTAATCTGAAACTCGAACCCATTCGATATACAAATGAGGTTCGCCAAAAGCAAACTGGAAAGGTCATACAAGTTTTTCTGATTTTTTTGGTTCTAAAATTGGTTTAACTTTTACCCTTGAGATTTAATCGTTTTTACTCTTTGTGTTTTAGCTTGGAAAACGTTTTTTTGATCTGTGCGAAATAATGAACAGACTTGACAGCAGTTTGTGATTGTTTCAATCAGTTGTGGATAAAACTATAAGCTAGGGTAAATTTTTCCAAGCAAAAATAGGTACCGTAAACTCATGTCATAAGAGTTCGAATGGAATGTTTTGTTCAAGATCTTTGAGTCGCATAATGCGGATCCAGAAAGATGCACCACAGTTTTTATAAATGATTTTGCTTTCATTTTTTGCACATTTTAGCCAATTTCATATTTTGATTACTCTTGCGCGACCAAGTGTCTCGTAATCAGGAACTAGACTTTTTCCGTAACCAACTTTTCTTACACATAAGTAATCAAAATTTATTAAAAAGCAGTGGGCTTAGTGTCATCACCAAAAAACTTATCGGGATTGAATTGATATTGACGAAAACTCAGTTTTTTTTTACTACTGTACATAGTTATTGTTCCGACCATTGAAAATGGGGAGGAACTTGTATTCGGGTTTGTTTTAGTTTTTCTTTTTGTTTTTTTTTCACGCAAAATCAGGTACCACAATTAATCAGCGGACTGGTTTGAGTGATATATTATATTGAAACCCTTCAGTCGTGATTAAAACCACATAAAAAATTCCCAAAATTTTTTCCTAATGTTGAGAACAACGGGTTTGAAATTTTAGATTTTTTGTCTAATTTTGAGCAACTAAAGCGAGAGATCAGGCGTACAAGAGCTCATTTATGCGTAATTTAAACTCTAAAAACTTAGTTTTTTTTGTCAATTTTTTAAAGAAAAGTTTGTGTGTCAATTTGCCTATATTACTAGGAGTCTCAATTATGTCTAAAATATAGTTTTACATACGATTTTTTCATCACCCCACGCAGAAAAAATTGCATTAATTATTGTAGCTTTTTAAGGACTATGGTCGGAACATTCTGTGCTACTTGGACAGTAACCGGCTAGGCTATCCTTGCTTTTTGTATTTGATTGTATGCTGCATTTTCGCTTTGTGCTCGAAAGCTTGTTTTCATTGCTGTTTTAGTTTTCCTGGCTTAAAACACTATTTTTGTTGGCTTTGATTTGATCACTGAGATAGTTTTATGCCTTGTCTTGATGTTTTTGTTATCTTCCTGTTTCAGATCATTTGATTTTGAGCAATCTTACATCATTGCTTCAATGTCTTTCTGATCTTGGTCTTGATAAGTCTCACGCAACAACAGCTGCCATTTTATGACATAGCACTCAGCGGCACTACTAGGTATCTCAGCGACACTGTACAGTAAATAAGCTTTCAAACCATGGTTCGAATTTCATCGACTGGTGAAATTATTCACGACGAACCACAGAACCGAAGCATCAATAAGCGCTCTCGCGGCCCCCAAATTGAGTCTCTGTCAGGAAGCTCGCCGAGACAAACTAATCGCCAAAGCTCCACTAAATTCGGAACCATTAATGACGTAAGAGATGACCACAGCTTTTCTGGACAAGGAAACCAGAACGGCGGCGGCGAGGCAGGAAATTCCAGGTCGGTTTTTGGAGGTCATGACCGAAATGGAGGCGCAAATGGGCATAACAATAATAGGAGAGGAGGAGGAGGAGGTGGTGATATGGGCAATGTGTTCAACTCTATGAATCAGAAGTTGATACGCATGGGCATTCCTCGCATTCCAATTGGGCCTATTGTCGTAGAGCCAATAGTATTAGCTGGACTCGGCCTGAGTTACCTAGTTTTAGGTACTAGAGGTCTGATATTTGGTGGGTTTCTGTTTGGCCTACAACAGTACGCGAATTTGAGAACTTAGCGTAGTCAGTGTCGGTGCTTTATTTTATTTTAATATAATCTTATGTTCTTTGTTGGGCGTTTCTGGAGTCTTTTCTAGTGAATATCTCGATGAATCAATAACAGCTCAGTTTTATGGTTTTATATCTCTTAATGATATACAGCTACATCATCAGTTGGTTAGAAATTATTAAAAAGAATTTATTTTTTGTAAATAACTATGAGAATGAGACATTCGGTCTAACCAATGGTACAATTTCATTTTCTTATGAGCCTGTTTTCTAAATTAGGACCCTTTGAGAATCAGTTAATCATGTAAGCTACTGAAATATAACAGCAAAAAGTATTGTTTTAAAAGTACAGATTTATAATCAAACAGCGCTAATTCTTTCAGATGACCGCTATGAACGTTTTGAAAAATATTTGTAGATATTGTCATCACCCTGTGTCAAGTCTTAAGGTTAAATTTGCCGACTCGAGTCCAACTCTCTCTTTCATTCGCAATTATGGCTACAGAATCAAATACAACATGAAAGACGGCGAACCGGAAGAGAAGCCGTCAGTCGCTTCTCGCTTTTTCAGACTTCCGAATGGACTGTGGATTCGAAGGCAGCCAGGATATCATGCCCATTTATGGAAGAAAAGCTGGAAAAAGAGGCGCCAGTTGGAGAAGCATGAAGTGTTGGGCCCCGAGGATAGCGCAATGTTGGACAAAATGGTGTCGAAGAAAACGTGGAGCAGGAGGTACTGGGTTGACCATGCTATGGATCCTTGGGTCAACCACATTACTATGCAGAAAAATCCGCCATGGAGGCCCTAAAATAAAACAAAATAAAATTTTGAATCGCTTAGACTCGCTTATACAAATTGATATTATTTTATACTTTGACTCTATTTTTTAGTACTAAAGTTAAGCTGCAGTCACTTTAAGTCGCATAATAGAAAGAAGTTATAGTTGAGCCGTTACAAAACAATCAATGTCAGAGTATCAGGCCACGGTAGCAGTACCACCAGTACCAAACCAGTGCGAAATGTCATCTGTCAGTGCCATATCAGTAGCAGCAGATCGATAGTGCTTTTTTCAACCAATATGTTCTTTCATCATTCATTGGCTCAGCGATGAATCTGACTACTTCTTGCGCTTGACGGATAAGGCGGTACAATTTGGCCATGGAGTCAAACTGTTTTCGTGACAAAGCAAAAACCAAATTGGCAGAAGGAAATTGTTTCGATAATGGAAGTGGTAAAACTTCAAATCTTTTTTGTTTAGAACAAATTTTTGAAAAATCTGTGCACCATTGTTCTCAGAAAATATTTTCTTTTGTGTTATAAGTTGTGCTAAAAAAGAAAAACTATCAGTGCCTGGCATTCATTTTTTATCATTGCTAATAGTAGTGCCGTCACTGTTAGCAATTTTTGAGACCATGACCACCCTGAATTGGTGTTTGTTATGTTCAGTTCTACTGATATTGTTTCTATAGCGTCTGTTTTGACATTTATTGAAATTTAACACATCTTGTACACTTTTCTACTGAAAGATATTTTCAGCAAAACTAAATTGGGTTATATCGAGGAGTTATATTGCCATCCGGCATCAAATCTGCTTGGCGTTGAAAACTACATAAGACTTAGTGGATGAATGGATTAAGCTTCCTCATAAAATCGGGGAAATTTTGTAAGTACGAAAGAGTTAGTTTTTTGTACAGGAGACAACTGATTTACTGCGTTAATATACTTCTACTTTTTAGTAAAGATTACGCTAATTTATAGAGCCTTGCTGGCGTGAGATGTCGTGCATGGGGCCTAGGAAATTAGACGATAAGCAAATAAGACGGATGCTACAAAAACGAAATTAGACGATATTTGTTTTGTACAGATCTGGCATTTTAGACGAAAAAGCTATGAAAAGGAAAGGGCCAACAAACATTTTTCTTAGGAGTTAAGTATCACAAAATTTTTGGCCACCGAATTTAACTGTTGTCTGCTGCAAACAATTTTTTTTTCATGCAGTTTGTCTGCAAACAATTTTAATCTATCTCACTTTCGTCTATTTTCTCTCAATTGTACCTTTGCAAAATCGTCTAATTTCCTTTTAAGTACCTCCGTCTAATTTGATTATCGTCTAATTTCTCAGCCCCCGTCGTGCATGTACTGACATCGCACCTTTGCTGTTCTATTGCTTGTCGGAAATAGCCATGTTTAGATTTTTAGGCCTTTTAGTTATCGCTTTGGTTTGTTTATCTTTGTCTTAAGGTTTTCATCTAAGTCGGCTGAAAGACTAGTTCTAGATAGGAATTGAGTGGGGGTTAGGAAATTAGACGATAAGCAAATTAGACGTGACCAACAAAAGCGAATTTAGACGTTGAATTATTTTTGCAAAACTAGCATTTAAGACGGAAAGCAAAGGGCTAACAAAACTTATTGCTTAAAACAAGTTTTAATAATTACAAAAATGATATATGATCCCATTGCATATCAAAATATTTATCTCAATTGATTTATAAAATGTTAATTTCAAGGCTATAAAGCTTTTTTGAAATGCATAAATTATACAATTGCGGAATATGAAAAATGCGGAATAAGAAAATTGCGGCATCTGATAAAATTATTTGCATTTAAGAAAGCTGAACGAAAGTTAATTTTAGTCGGTAAACAAATTTCAGACACGAACGGGGGTTGAGAAATTATATGATAAGCTAATTAGACGGAGGCACTGAAAAGGAAATAAGATGTTTATTGCCAAACTGCAGTTGTGAGAAAATAGACGAAAGTAAGAGAGATTAAAATTGTTTGCCGGCAAATTGCGTTAGAAAAACAAAAATGATTGCAGACAACAGTTAAATTTCGGTGGACAAAAATTTTACATGTCAATTATGCATAATTTATTCAATTCAAAACTCTTCTGTAAAATTCGGATTTGACATTTTATGTTCATTTAAATAAATTGCTTGATAGGTATTCTCATTTAATGTTCTTTTTGTATTTGTGAAACTTGACTGTTAAGAAAAAATTTTGTTGGCCCTTTCCTTTTTATAGCAGTGACGTCTAAAATGACAGATGTGTAAGAAAATAATTCCGTCTATTTTCGTTTTTCTAGCATCCGTCTAATTTGCTTATTGTCTAATTTCCTAAGCCCCGACACGAACAATACAATACGTCTAATTTCCCATATTTGTAATTTCGCATCGACGTCTAAATTTCGTTTTTGTTGATCACGTCTAATTTCCTAAAATCCGAATTGAGTACATCTATCGAACATTTAAAATTCGAAAAGGGGTTCTTAACGGGCCACTTTTCAATCAAATTCGCGCATAGCTTGTGATAATTTTGTATTTCGAAGCTTAATGCAGTATGAACTAAAGTGGCTCTCTAGACAGCATGAGAAAAAATTGAAGGCAGGTGTCTCTGAATATTGAGGCTGGGTGATCGATTACGGATGGTCCAGATCTATTTTTGAGATATTTATGCTTGCAATGAGGAAAGATGACGCAGTGATAGAATTAAGTTTGATACTATAAACGCGATACGGTTAAGTGGTATTTGAACCGGTGCTATCTTTTTGAGACGGTTTAATGAGCAGTGTTAAAATTGGACATCGAACATACCATTCAGTAGCCGATATGGTTCAATGTTTACACACATATGTTTTGTTCATGGCAATCAGCCCACGAAAATTGTGCGCATCTGGGCTCATGGATCGAAACAATCTGTTGCTCACGATAAAACTCAATAAAACTTGACTGTTTGTCTTTGAAAACTTGCGCTCGATCGCACTCTGCTAAACTGTGTTTGACTTAATCAAACTTCTCTCAAAGTTTACAATTTTCAGTTAAATTTATGAAAGAATTGTCCAAAAACCTACATGGTTTTTTGAAAGCCATCCATGTTGTGCTAAAATCAAAAAGTTTTCGTGCCAATAAGAAGACTAAAGCTCAAGTGTCATCTCAGTGTCCTTCTTTTATCCCCAAATATAAACTGGTCTTTAAAAAAAACAAGAGTGCTCGTATGTCAGAGTAAAACACTGAATGTTCGGACTGCCCCTTAATCCATATCGATTAGTTTTTGGCAAAAGAAAATATTGAAAAACCATCAGGGAAAATTCAACTTAAGAAATTAATACGACCAATTAGCTTAGCTAGCCTCAATTCAATTTGGAACGATTTTGTTGTGCGGAATAATTCGGCCGTCGCGCGTAAATAATTTGCGTTATGCTTTCAGCATTATGGATAAAATCTTTAAAGGGCGCATAATTTAGTCCAGAAAATGGCCAAAGTGGCAATTTTTAAACTCCCAGAACTTTGATCTTCAATAAGTTTACAAAAATTGTTTGTTAAAAACTTATTCGATCGTCGAAAATTGACAAAAAAATACCATACCTATAAATAATCCGTTTTCTTCAAAAAGCGAAATAACAAGGGTGCGCGTAAATCAGGGCAAAGCCCTTATTATGCCGAATTCACTTTAAGGACAATTAAAACGTGTTTTGGTCGAAAAATAACGAAACAATTTTTTTAAAAAATTTCGTTTTATCCCTCCAGAAGCTATGTAAAATACAAAGGGTGTATTCACGTCTCGTTTTATTTGAAAAAAATTAAATTGCTGGCCGCAATTTAATTTAGAATTGACTAATTTGCTTCTTACGTGTGTTTTAAAAACTTAACATATCGCACGTTAATTATCCCAAAATTGCCAGATTAACAATTTTCAAACCCCGTTTCAAATTTGAGCCCAGGACAACAATATCTTTCAGACGGATTTTTAAAAATTCCGTCAAAAATTCTTAGTTAAAATGTCGATATTAATTGGATAAACAACCAACCCAAGCAAAAATAATCAGCATTATCTTTGAAAGTTGGAAGTATAAAAAACAGTCCCGTGTTTAAGTTTACTCGTGTATGCTACGATGAAAAACCTTGTTTAGTCCTATACTATTTCAGTGACAGGAATAGATCGTTCATTACCAACAAAAAAATCAAATGTTCTTTTTACTTAATGTTTGGAGATTTTGAATGGCTTAATGGAAAGAACTTTTTGTAAAATTTTTCCTAGAAGCTTACAAGGCTAGTTTGCGCAACAAATCAATGTTAAAAACAAAAATGGATGGCGAGCCGGGAGCTAGATTTATTTAGCTTTATTTCAAGAGCCTAAATAAAATAGTTTTTTTTTGTATTAAATTTTGGTATTTTGATACCTGTCAGAACAAGTGCCCAAAGAAATTAGCGAAATTGATCTTGAAACAGTGTATCGGGTGAGGCCGTCAACGAAGTAACGAC